ATACATACATACATACATATGTTGTGGGTTGAGTGCGTGAGGTGAAGGACTGGACAGTTCGGCAGGACTCCGTAAAATCTCGCAAACTTAGGAGATCCTTGCATGCATGACCCTTTGTCAGAGGCTCCTTGCAGAAAGAGATTACGGGGGTTTTGGGGGTTTAGGGTTTAGGATGGTTTAGGTGTAGGGTTTAGGAACTCTGTGATCACCAGATATGCGGTTGCGCGTAGATAGCTCAACCCCAAGCCATCCTAGACCTCACAGCCTATAGCTGGCAAATACATCAAGGGTTACTGCTAAAGCACAGGGCCCCTTGGGTCTATAATGCTACAGAAACCATAAGGAGCCCCACAGCCCCGTGCAATATCGGCAATTGTTCAGGCTTCTACCAAAAAGCCCCCGTAGCTGCATATTGCTGCCTCGAGAACCTAAGGCACAGGGTTTATCCGGACAGTCTCCGCATCTTGGAGAGCTTCAAGCCCGAAACCCGCAGACAAAAACTGGAATCCCTCCCCATAAACTCCCTAAGATAAGCCCTAAACCCCAAACCCTGAGCCCGAAACCGTAAGCCCTACAAACCCCCATGCACTCCCTAAGCCCCAAAAAACCGAAATCCGTACCTTCCAAGTCCCTGCTGGGCTTCCGACGCCAACATGGCAAGATCCTTTCACGGGGACATATGATTCGGGATCTTATAGGGGTTAGGGTTTAGGGTGTGGGGTTCAGATTTAGCGTTTAAGCTTTAGGGTTAGGGACAATTCGGGGTCTTATAGAGTGTTCTACGGTTCTGTCGGGTTTTAAGGTCTTACATAGTGGTTTAACTAATTCGGATATCTTTTTTTAAAGACGGAGGCAGGGGGGAAGACCGTAACTAGAACAGGGAACCCTGCGGAAGTGTTAGAGTCTTGCTGTTGGTGTTCTTGTCGATTTGTGGTCTGTGGCACAAGGTGGCTGGGGTGTAAGAGGATGCCTATGGCCCAACATGATGAAACAGACCCTAAATGCTCAACTCCGATGTGAATGCGGATGATACCAAAGGTTGCCAAGCTGACAAAGCATACTCGTGTTACCGTTACTGGCAGTACCAGTCAACGCTTATCGCTATCTGATCTGCTACTCTTTCTGCTGTTCGCTTGCTTTTTTTTTGCTGCTGCTGCTGCTGCTACTGCTGCTGCTGGTGGTGGTGTTGTTGCTGCTGTTGTTGTTGTGGTTGTTGTTGTTGTTGTGGTTGTTGTCGTTGCTGTTGTTGCTGCTGCTGTTGCTGCTGCTGTTGCTGTTGCTGTTGCGGTTGCTGCTGCTGTTGCTGTTGCTGTTGCTGCTGCCGTTGCTGTTGCTGCTGCCGTTGCTGCTGCTGTTGCTGTTGCTGCTGCAGGTGCTGTTGCTGTTGCTGTCGTCGTCGTCGTCGTCGTCGTGGTTGTTGTTGTTGTTGTTGCAGTTGGGTTTAAGGGTTCAGGGCGCAGGTGCGGGCGCCGGCCAATGAAACCCCATGAAACCTTGCAAGCATCTCTAGTCAGAGACAGTTTCTACGCTCCAAGTCTCCGTTCCATCTTCATGAGGCAGGGCTTGTGTGTCAGAGCCCTAACCCAACCCAACTCCAAACCCCAGAACCCTGAGCCCTGTAAACAATCTACCGAAGGCTTTTTTGTTGGTGAGGACTGTGTTGGGTTGAGGACCAAGCCTCGCCATCCAGGCGGAACCGCACAACCGGCGGTTGGCCTAGCTGCTGTTTTTGGTCTTAGGGTTATAGGGCTTAGGGCCTTAGGGTTTAAGGGATTTACGGAAAAAAAAACACCCAGATACGAAAAGTCCTCACTGCCAAGAACAGGAAGCCAAACATACTCGGAGAGCCGTTGGCTAATGCCTAGTCATTCGGGTCTATGGCTGAGGGTTCAGGGTTTCTGGGCTTAGGGTTTCAGGTTTCAGGGTCTAGTGTTTCAGGATCAGGAATCAATACTGCGAGCAAAGCTAGGTTTCGATGTAAAGAGCCTTAGAGCTGCAGAAGCTTTGAGCTCTCGGGATATGGCAAAACCTGGCAAGAAAGGGTTCAGGGATATGTTTTGAGGTTCAGAGTTCCTAAACCCCAAAACCTGGGCAAGAGGGATTAGGGCTTAGATATTTTGGGTTTAAGGCTCCGGGACGTCCAAACCACAAACCCTACCCAGACCCTTGATAACCTACCTTCGAACGAAGTTATTCGTATTTTAAGGAAATCATCTACAAATATCCGAACTGCATCAAACTCCCGAAAGGCGGTGGGGTAACTCAGACGCCGGCGCCCGCAGAAGGCCTGCGAACGGAAACATGCGCCACAAAGGCACAAGTTCAAACTTCTAGGCCTTGCAGGCGTTTCTACAGCACCATTTCCAGCTTCTGCAAGATCAGGCGTCAATTTTCGAGAGATTAGAGCTAGGGGGGCTTCAAGTTTTAGGGAGGCTCTGGGAACTTCTACAGCCAAAACATCCCACAGGCCTTTTTTTGTTTCCCAGCAAGAACCTAAACCAAAGCTCTACACATTAGGGTCTATAAGGTCAGGTGTGACTTCAACTCAGGCCGTGGAAGTCTACGGCCATGCTACGGGTCACTAACCCAGTAAGTGCTGATCGCTAGTGCTAGTGGTAAGAAAACCAACAATGGTGATAACCACCAAAATGTTCATCATATATGGGGCTTTCATTTTCAGGGGTTTCCTGCTAGTGAGGCAGTCGTTCCACTTCATGTGGCCTGCCTGTTCTCTGAATCTCATACTCATCACAATCATTTCAGGGCTTCGGAAAATTGGACTCAAACCCACGAAAGATTTCCCTAAACCCTAAACCCTAAACGGTACACCCGGGAGTGGGGTGGGGTCTATACGGTGTCACCGGTGATGGGGCGCGCTTTTTTCGGGTCTTGATGGGAGTCCTTCGACCCCTGGATGCCCCTAATTTTTAGAAGCTTCCTTGGGTGCCTATGATGACTAAGGTGACAAGCTCCTCAGGGACTTCTGAAAGCGTCTGTTAAGGAATATATGCATTAACTTCTGTCAGGGATCCATCTGCAACTTCGGCATACGGATGAAAATATGGTGTTTTGGAGTCTCTATAGGCATGTCTGAAGGCTTCTAAATAGCGTGCTGGGCTACATCGTGCCGTAAAGATGTATGGGCTATAGGTATACATAAGCGGGGGTGTTGTTACTAGTTCTTCCGGTCAAAAGATGAAGCCCAGTCATGCGTTGTTGCATGCGGCTCGGACGGATGAGGTAGCCAAGAGAGGCCAGGTACCTGGCATCGCAATGAGGGTCCAGGGTCAGGGGATCAGCAACATAGATGCCTTTTCCAACTAGAATAGGGCTTGCAAACACAATTTGCTACGTATAATATATACTGTTCCTTTAGGAAAAAACCTAGAAACAGTACCACTCATCATTTAGGCAACTGTGGATCTGGGGTGTCAGCTTCTGTAGGGCTTTTTGGAGGCGGAAGGTCGCGGAACTTTCATGTCTTCAACACCATGGGATCTGCTCCACAAGGTTGCAGCATTCGTCCTTACACACAAAGCTTTTACATAAACCTTTAAGCCCTAAACCCCTAAAGCCTTTAAGCCCTAAGCCCTACCCTCAACTCCAAACCCCAAAGCCAAAACCGTACCTCAAACCCTAAACCCTACCCTCAAACCCAAATCCTAAATCCAAGACCGTACCTCAAGCCCTAAACCCGAAACCCTACCCTCACCCCTCAACCCTAAATCGGTCGTTCAGGTTGTTGGTTTGGGATTCTGGGTCAACCCCGAAGCCCCAAGGGCTCTTAATAATATAGGCGGTCTAGGGTTTGGGGCTTAGAGTTTAGCGGTTAGGGTTTAGGGTTTAGAGTTTAGGGTAGGGGCTTGAAGAATTACCAATCAAGGGGTCCATGTTACAAGTGTACCAGCACAAGCCTACTCGAATTATTAAGGCCCCTACTAGTACTAGTAAGCCTTGTAGAACCCCTGAGCCCTAAGCCTTAAGCCCTAGGCCCTAAGCCGTAAGCTTTAAGCCTAAACCCTAACCCCGAAGCCTTTCAAAGGAGCCCTTAGAGGCACATTAGGGGCAGGAGCCGAAACCTTCATTACACCCATGCCCAAACTGCGGACCGTTGCCTTGGGTCGAGGGCTCGAGGGGTTATATATATATATATGATGGAAGGGTTTAGGCTTTAGCGCTCTGGGGGTTTATATGAGTTTAACGCGTTGCCTTGGGTCGTGGCTCGAGGGGTTATATGATGGAAGGATTTAGGCTTTGCGGCTCGAGGGGTTTATATGATTTTAGGGGTTTAGGCTTTAGGGCTCTGGGCGTTTATATGATTTAAGGGTTTAGGGTTCTAGGGGGTTACATGGGTCAAGGGTTATAGAGTTTAGGAGTATAGTGCGAAAGCAATGCCCCCCTTGTTGATCTCTCCGGCCGGCCTCACCAGCGATGCTGCACGTTTGGGGGGCGGCTTCGGGTGAGGAGGTGGCCGCCATACCGGTGGAGGAGGTGGAGACTGCACCTTGGACTTTGGAAAGGGCTCCGGGTTATAGGCTTATCGAGTTTAGTTATGACATGCCAGTAGATTTGTATATTGCTGAAAATCTGGGATTGAGAAGACAGGTGTCTGTCTGCCCGCGGTCGGTCGGTCGGTCCGTCCGTCCGTCTGTCTGAGAGGTATGAAGAAAAAATACCGAAATCACTAGCGGAATCAATGAAGGAAAAACGAACGATCGAATGCTAGTTAAAGGTAAAGAAAGAACACAATAATGACACAGACATCAAGAGCGACACAATATAAAAAAGCAATGTCATGAAGGAAGAATGAAATACACCAAGAGAGATGGAACAAGACAGAGAGAGAGAGAGAGAATGATAAAATCAGAAAAGCACATGGGCACAGAGACGGAACGAGCATGTGGAGATGGTTGTAACACTGTAAGAAAACATCACTGCCTGGTAGCCTCTACGCCTTTCTCCGCAAGGAGCCATTCTGACCCTAATTATCGGGTTTAGCATGCTTGCCTCGACTGGCTCGCTTTCTGGTTGGACCGTTTCCTAAACCGTCAAACTCGAAACCCTGAACCCCTACAGAATCCCTGTAAAGCCCTTATAAACCCTAAGCTCCTAAACCCTAGGGACCTTAAGAGGGAACCCAGAGAGCTTCTATGAAGCCCTAAACTCCAAACCCTGAACCCTAAAGACCTTACGAGGGAACCCTGAAAGTTTCTACAAAGCCCCAGGTTTTGCAGCTGAAGCAGCGCCTGTGTGAGCTCTGCGGCGCGCCGCGCTTTCGGCTGAGGATTCTCATTGATGGCGCAGCCATGGAAGACGATGCGACTGCGATCAATCAATCAATCAATATATATGTATATATATATATATTATAATGTGTACAATGTCTGTGTACATTATATATATATTTATTTATTTATTTAAGTGTGTATATATTATGCACATATATTTATGTATGTATGTATGTATGTATGTATGTATGTATGTATGTATGTATGTGTGTATGTGTATATATATATGTATATATATATATGTAGAGCCATATAAGGCCTTAATGAGTAGAATAGGGTTCCCTTTCAGAGTTCCTTTAAGGGTCCTTTACAGGGCTTCCATAACAGTTTTATGGTTTTCGGCCTTAATGATTATGGAATAGCAGGGCGACTTGGGTTTTGGGGGTATTGTTGTTGCAGAGAACCCGAATTCTCGAAGAAATGGCATGACAAACCATTCGGGCCGTATTACAATATTCATAGCCTCGTGGAAGTGGCTGCCGTTCAGGTACTGTTTGAGGATTCAGGCTGGTCGCAGGCTTCAGCAAGATGGAGTCTGCTTGAGATTCATAATGGATGTTGCCTCCCCGCACCCTAGACACTCCTTAGGCCCACCCTAAACTCTATATGAACCCCTAAGCCCTACAAGCCCTAAATCCCTAATCCCCAAACCCTGAGCCCGTAATCCCCCAAAATCTGAACTCTAAGCCCTAAACCTGCAACCCAAGCATAGCCAAGGCCCCCCTGCTGTCGGACTTGGACGTGCAACTTCTCGCGCTTCCTCTCCGCAGCCTCTCCCCGGAGGAGCTGAGACTGTTGAAGGCGGCGGCGGCAGCGGGAAAGCTGCTCAGCAGTTAACGGCAATAGTGGTTTAGGGTTTGTATATGAATTCAGTATTTTTTGGCGGGTACTATAACCCAGATGTATACTTGTAGTGCGTATAGTTATGCTGTTACGTGAGTGACCTTTCACCTTCGTTATGGTTTTAATTACTAACCCTAAGGGTCCATATATACTACCATTATGGAATTAGGCCCCCAAAACCATAATATGAATGGTCTTTTGGGACCAATTCCATAATGGTAGTATATATGGACCCTCTGGGTAACAATGTCGTCCATTCGATCCCGATCCAGCCTTCTCTCGGGGCCCCGCGTCCCGCGGCCGACAGCTCCTTGAATCCTTCATATAGGGGCCTTAATAATTACCTACATCATTGTGGGGGTTCCTTATTGCATTTGTAGTATAGTGTACCCCAAAACCCTATTCTAATTATTAAGGCCCCTACATTACCCCATTCCTCGAGTCACACCTCGTCCTTCGCATGTTTGCTTGCCACCAAACTTCTGAGCTCAAGTTGCAATTCTGCAAAGCTCGTCTCACACCTTTCGCTACCTTTTCGGGGTACTCTAGTCTGTAGATAATTGTAAAGGTTAACCGGCTAACTTAGCTTTAGCTTCCCTATGACTGGACAAGCAAGGCTGGGGGAGGTGGAGAGGATGCTGCAGGATCTTCACGATCCTGACCTGGCCCTCCATGAGGCAGCACGAGCAGGTCAGGAGGGAGTGGTGCAGCTGCTGCTGGAAGCCCGGGTGGATGCGAACCTTCGCGACAGCACTGGCCGAACCCTCCTCCACTTGGCAGCCACGGAGAATGACTTGAAGCTGGCCCACTTGCTGCTGGATGCGGCTGCGGACATGAGCCTCGCGGACAGAAGCGGGAAGCAGGCCTTCCAGGTGGCACTCGAGAGAGGGCGGATCAACATGGCGCGCTTGATGCTGATGGCTGGGACATGTAGCACGGATGAGGATGCCTGCACAGGCATAGACAAGGAGGAGGGACTGCTTTCGGCCGCTAGCTTGGGCCATGAGGATATCGTGCGCTTACTGCTGGAAATGCAGGCCAACATGGACGCGGTGGATGAGAATGGCATGACAGCCCTCCATCAATCCTGTGCCCAAGGCCTCTTGTAGACCTTGTAGTTTGTACAAGGTTGCACCAACTCTTGCTTAATTGGAGAGGCGTGGTATCCGGCGCAACTGTAGCATCCTGTTCGAGACCGATAGATCTGCGCTCGTGCCTTCGGGGTGAGACGTTCTGAGTAGGTTCCGGGCACGATCAGCTTGTCCTCTCTTGCTGCTTCCGTCAGTGATGGACGATCCTATGAGATGATTATAGTCCCCGAAGTTGTAGGCGGTGAGGTACAGCCCACAGCTGCCAATGCATCCGCAGTACTTCAGGCAACTGTCGCCTCGCCAGTGCGCTCCTGGAAGCCGGCTGCGTTAGGGACATCGGGGATTCCGATGGCAAGTGCGCTCTTCACTGGGCCATCTACAAGAATCATCCTGCTGCGGTGAGGTTGCTGCTGCAGGCTGGAAATTGCAGCACCAGTGCGGACACATCTGAAGAAACGCCTGACTTCGTTCGGTTGTCGAAAATGCTGGACCCAATTACCCTAAAACCCAAGACCCTAAACTAAACCCCGCACTGGGCCGCAAGCAGCAATGACATTGTGCAGCTTTTCTTGTGGGGTAGCCATAGCGTTTGCTTTTGTGCAAGGTGTGATGCGGTGTGGTATTCAAGCTAATTCAACGGTTCAAAATCAAGACTTTCGTGTTTCAGAGCGTCGCATCGCAACTCATAGTAACTGCTTGCCCTAAGCCCTTCTAAGCCCCTAAACCCTATACCCCCTATCGGATCCTAAACTGCCACAACTTACAAGGCCGGGGCTAACAAAGACTTGGCGGACAATACGGGCACGACGCCGCTCCATGCGGCCGTGGGCCAAGGATACACTGGCAAGGAGGCTGTATTTAGTAAGCGTGAGGGCTATGTAGGGTTTATAAGGGTTAAGGGTGTCTACAAGGGTTCATAGGTTTAAGGAAGCGTATGCTTTAGGGGGCTGCATCATGGGATGTGTTGTCTTAGGGAGGATTCGGTGCAGGGTAGGTTTCTTCAGACCATGAAGCCTACCTAGACTTGGGGCCTGTGCTATTGTGCTACGTTTGCTGGCCGGCCACGGGTACCTTATCTCACACGAAACAATCTGTGTAGATTGACGGCAGTTTGCGGAAGCTGGCTGTAACGTTGTAGCCTCCGCTGCAGCCTTCGAACCATGGAAGGGGTTGGTTCTGATCTATATATTCAACACACAAGATCTTCTCGTTGGTGAAAGGGCATGCGTAGTATCCTCAGAAATGCACCAGTTGCAGAGCCGAGGTACCGCGCGCATGCTCCTGGAGGCTGGAGCTAACGTCGACCTGCGCGACAGAGACCCTTAGAAACCTTAATCGTAGAAGAAGTAGCCTTTAAGCAGAAACCTTTACGTTTTGTTTGGAGCTACTATATATTACCATCATCCCTATATAACTGTAGGAGACTGGACTAGTGAGGATCGACAGACAGCTCTTCACTTAGCATGTTTCCGAAACAACGTGGATGCTGTGCGCGATCTGTTGGCAGCCGGCGCAAGTATAGACGTGCCAGATGGGCATGGCAGGAAAGCATTGGATTTGGCATATTCGAAAGATTATGTGGAGGTGGTCTGTCTCTTGTTAGCTGCTGGGGCTGATCAAGCCTGGATTCGAAGCAACCTTAGCGACGATGGCAATGGAACCGTCTTACACTGGGCAGCCGAAAAGGGACGCGCAGATGCCGTGCAATCGCTGCTACGCACAGGCGGATTTGACCGACAGCCGTGGCCTGACAGCTCTCCACGTGGCGTCGCTTGGTAGTACTAGTAGAGTCGAGTAGGTAATCTTTAGCCTTTTCGGGTATTCTGACCATCCCTACAACATCCCGAAAGTTAACTTTTTGTTCCCCTAGGATACTGGACAAATAAGGTCGGACGCGGGTGATGTCGGCGTGGTGCGTTGCTGCTGGAGGCCACGGCTTCGATGGACATGGCCGATCACCGCGGCATGACGGCAATACATTATGCGGCCGGGCGCGGCCGCAAGGAGGTTGCGAGCTTGTTTCTGCAGGCCACAGTATTACAGTACCCCTATAAAGTTGCCTGAGAGTATTAATTAGTATAGAAAGTACAGTATCATATAGTATATAGCACAGTATAGCATAATATTAGTAATATAGTATAGTTTAGCATAATATAGCGTAGTATAGTCTAGTATTGTTTAGTATAGTATACAGTCTATACAATACTGTATATTGTAAATATAGTATAGTAACCTTATAGTGCCCTTGCAGCATTATCGTACCCTTATTATGGTATAGTAACCCTGTTATGTTGTCCTTATAGTATTATAGTACCCTTATAGTGTAGTAACCTTTGTATTGACCTTTGTATTGACCTTTGTATTGTACTTGTAGTACTATCGTACACGTATGGTACAGTAACCTTATAGAATATCGTACCCTTATAGTATAGTAGCCTGATACTGGTACTACCCCCGCAGGCCAGAGCCCTAAACCCTAAACCCTAAACCCCTAACCTATAAGTTGTTTAGTAGCCTGATACTGGTAGTACCTTTGCAGCCAGAGCCCTATAAACCCTAAACCCTAAACCCCAAACCTAGTAACCTCATACCTCTATTTATAGTAACCTTATAGATTATCGTACCCCTATAGTATAGTACCCTTATAGCACCCTCATGCTGGCACTACCTTTGCACCCTAAATCCTAAACCCTAAACCCTAAACCCTAACCTAGTAACCTCTTACTGGTACCACCCTTGCAGGCCAGATCTGACGTGGACCTGAGAGATTTGCATGGCAAGGCTGCGCTCGACTGGGCAAATAGCCTGTTTGATGCGCCCGTGGTGCGCGTATTGTCGGACCATGCAGGAAAATCTGAGCCATAAGCCATCGGCGCGAGAAGTCTTTGCGAATTCGACCAGCTTTTCCTGGTTGCAGATGTCTGTCACTGGAGGAGAAGTGTGTAGTTGCATGTCCTTTGCAACATGGTGTGGTGGTCGTGATGATGGCGAGGGTGCTAATGGTGCCATGGTGAACATGATGCTGAAGGTGCTGGTCAGTGCTGGTGATCACATTAAATGAGTGATCGTGACAATACTGCTGGTGATGTGCATGATGACGACCAGGATGATGGTACCCTGCTTAGATTTTCAAGAGCAGTTGCAGCACATGATTCCGTGTGTGTTGTCGTGGTTCTTGGTCGAGAAACGATCCATGCGACCTACTGCCCCGTCCAACGGTGTGAGTGTTGCATGTTTCCCTAAACCCGATCCCGTAACCATGTCACCCAAACCTCTAAATTTGCTACCTCAACCTACGACCCTCTCCGAAACCCTCCAGCATCGCTTCCGTAGCTTGCAATGTGACTTTCGAACCTCGACCTTCCCATCATCATTGAGCCGCCTTAAGGGTTATAGGATTCAGGGCGGTAACGTCAACGTGTTTTTGTTGTAAACGAGGTAGTCGCGCTCAGAGGCACGAGCGACGTCGACTTCGGATGTCGCGAGTGTAAAGTGCATTTAATGTCAATTTGCGGTAGGAGCAAGCGGTTTCGGGTAGCTGTCGTGAATTGTCCCCCCGATGTCAGGCACAGGCCATTGTGTACAAGAAGCACTGGCAGCGCAACAGTGTCGCATGTTTGCTCGTTCTGTCCTAGGTTTCATGGACTCCAATCATTCAGGCAGTTCTGGCTCCTAGTGAACTGTCGTTCTCCACGAACCAGTACTCTCCCGCGAGGCGGAGAAAGAGCCAGAAAGCCTCGACCCACCACCCCCAGCTCCCGAACCACGGAACTTCACAGCATCCCATCAGAGCGGCCTATACCTCCAAACCCTATTGTACTTGTTAAGGCTGCTAAGGCCTCGAAAACCCTATCCATTCCTCATCGAACCCTTCTAGACACCCTGAAAAAAGAACCCTGTTGTAGTGGTCGAGGCCCCTGCCTGGGCCTGAAGTTTCGCAGCTTTCCGGGCGAAGCACCCTAAACCCTCAACGCTTTAACAACCCTAAACCTTAAGCCCTTCATAGACATTTATAAGCCCTAGACCGTAAACCCAAAATCCTTCATAAACCCTAATTTAAATTGTAAACCGTAAACCCTCTGTAAGCCCTAAAGCCTCAATCGACTCCAAAGGTGACTCACCTTGTTTCTCGATCGGTGTCTCCAGAGGCCGCTATGATTTGGGGCTCGGCGGTTTTGGGGGTTTAAGGTTTCGGGTTTAAGATTTAGGGTCCTGAGGATTGAGAGGTTTCAGCCTTGGCGTTTAGGCTTTTTTCAGGCCACTGCTCTTACGGGAAGGGTTGAGGTGCCTAACCTGTGCAAGCCCCCTACCCTAAACCCTAGACCCAGCGGGTTAGTTGATTTGAAGGCAGATTTTGGCCTGGTCAGCAGACATCTCTGCTGACATGCCGCACACTTTAAGGGCCATGCACCTTCTGCGGACATGAGTTCTGAATACTTAGTACGTAGTATCATCCCTTACAGCTTCGAGTTGACCCTCCCTAAACCCCCTTAAATCCCAAGTCCTACTCCCTGATAAGAATACCTCCTTCAAGACTGGTTTGCTTGTTTCAGGCCAGGATATCAGAGCGATATTTAGCAGAGAGGAGTGGATCATGGGGTGGGGCGGGGCTTTCCGTAGGTATTCGTTACTTAGGGTTTGAGGGTTTAGGGGCCATCCGAGCTAGATAGTCGAGGGATGAAGGTCTCGGGGGTGTAGCGGTTTAGGATGCAGGGTTCCGTAGGCGTTGCTTCGTTGGGATCTCCGTTCCTGGTGAACTTCGTGGCCCGAACCACAAACCTACCTGCTCCAGGCATGTCCCAGCGCGGTTTAGGGTTTATGACCCCAGCAACAGCCAAAATCCTAAACGTCAGCGTGTCTTCGCTCTTGGAGCCTCCTAGCGAATGGGTCCGTAGCAAAGCTCCCCGATCGGGACTAGCGGTTGTGTCCGGACAAGAGTTCGTTCGAGTTTCAGGTCTAGGGTTTATAGGCTTTAGCCAGTGTTGTTTATGGCTTCGGGTGTCCGGAATACTGGCTTAGGGGTTTTGCTTTAGTGTTGCAAGGGCTCTAGGGTCCTGCAAGGGCTTTTGAAAGTGCTATTGGCGCAACTGGAGTGCTGGGGCTAGGTTGATCGAACCTGTTTGGTTGAAAAAGTTGGACTGACTGGTTAGGTGTTTCATCCCTCCAAATGTTTAGGGTTCCCCAAAATACGTATACCTAAAACCCCCCGAAGTAAGCAAAATAGCGGCCCAACTGCTATAACAGGCGAGTATTACTACATACATACTTCTGGGGTCAAGGTGCATCTTAAACCCTAAACCCTATAAACCCTTAGGGATCATGATGGGGACAAGAAGCGAGAACTGATGCCTTGGGCTCCCACCATCCATCCCCAAGCTCTAAGCGTCTGTATCCCTGAACCCTGTAGTTTAGGGGTTTAGGGTTTAGTGGTTTCTATAGGGTTTAGGGCTTAGGGTTTAGGGGTTCAGGGTTTAGGGGTTTAGGGGTTTAGGGTTCAGCCTTATTACCCATAAGGATTCCTTCAATTTCCTTGAAAGGGGGTTGCTTTACGGGTTCCTTTTAAGGGCTCCTTTGTGGGAGCAAGTACTCTGTACTGTAGGGCTTTAGAGCCGCTTTAAGGCGCCATGAGCCACAGGTCTTTTCGGGTTTGAAGTGGGCCTTATGGTCAAAGGTCCTCCTGAGCACCTGAGAAAAATAGACTCCCACAAGCCCCAGACCCTGAACCTTAAACCGTACAGTTGCTACTAGGCTGAGCCCAGCTGCCTGTCTATCGGGTGCTTGGACCCTTCTGATTAGTTCATGACAACCCTCTGGCAGAAATCTCGCTCTATTCTCTGGTTCTCTTTCATGCAGGCCATCTGGCTCAACATCTGTAGGATGTCGGGGAAGGGGGGGTGCAGTCTTGTGTTGAGTGACACGATTTTCAACCAGTTGGTGTTGCTGGAAATCACAGATGCTGTTGTAAGCCTTTGGTGTGCACTGATTATGCCCTACAGCATGGGGCGAGCATTGCAACCTTCGAGAGTATGATCGTGGTGGTGGTTTATGTTGTCATGGCCAGTATTCATGACCGTAGCGGCGCGTGCTTATGGGGATACCCAGCTTCTATCTATTTCGAACAGAAAATTAGGTCTTGTCTTAAACAAAAGGCTGATATGCATGATAAGAACAGCTGGCCTACTGGCTAGATCGCCATGTGCATCTACGCTCGTGCGGCAATTAGCTGACATGGGACCACGATGCAGAAGTGCTTGAGCAGGTGTGGCCGCTATGCAGCGGTGTACACATTCGGGTTTGTCTCCAGCAGCCTCCTTTGGCAAAGAGCCTGTCAGCTTTCCGCGGTTCCCTTCACAGGGCTCATCCCGTTCACTGAGACGAGTTCCCGGGACAAGGTCATCTCCACAGAAAGCTTGGGCTTTCAGGCTGAAGAACGTTTGGAGCTTCAGGCGGATACCCAAAGCGTCACCGCGTCCGACTCGCCGAGTCTTCACTTCGCGGCGGAAGGCGAAAGAAACTCCAGCCAGATCCAGACGGATCTTGGATAAAAAAGGAAAGCGTTTTGTCCATCCTTCTGTGGTCACTCTCAAACACAAAACCCCTAGCCCCAGAAAAGACGAAGAGACGTCAACACTCATTAACAAAAAAAGCCTGAAACGCAGCCTCGGCCACAAACCGCTCCAAGATGGACACAGACCTCTAAAGCCTAACACCCCGAAGTACTGGTATGTGTTTCTACCGGGAATGGTAGAAACCACAATGAAGAGAGCAAGAGTAACCAGCCCCAAACCCTTAAACCCCTAAACCTCTAAACCTCTAAACCCCTAAACCCCTAAGCCCTGAACCCTAAACTCTGAACCCTAAGCCCTAAACCCTAAAGCTTTCGGTGCGGCCACGTGCGAAGGAGCTTGTACCCTAAACCCTATAGAACCCATGTTGTAACCTTTTAAGGGTGTTTGTTAAAGGCTTTCAGGGGTCAGATAACCAATCAATAGGTTCTGGATTCTCCGGTGAACACCAAACGAACCCATGTTGTAACCTGAGTCATTAAAGGAACCTTCCTTGGGCACGAGCAAGGAAGAACCAGGAGCTGGTAGCAGTGATCTGTGTGTCGCTTCCGGGGCAAAGGCGAAGAGCCCCTTCCTGGTTCCACCGAATCTGGGACTCTTCTTGGGATTTTGGGCCTCAAGGGTTCCTCCAGAGTTTATGACTTTCTTGTAGTGGTAGTGGTAGTGGTGGTAGTAGTGGTTGTGGTTGTGGTTGTGGTAGTGGTAGTGGTAGTGGTAGTGGTAGTGGTAGTAGTGGTAGTTTTTGGTAGTAGTAGTAGTAGTAGTCGTAGTAGTAGTAGTAGTAGTAGTAGTAGTATATATATATATACACATATGTATATGTATATTTGGGTAAGTACGTACGACGAGAGCATAATCACCAGGCCTCAGGCCACTATGTATCAGGCCGTCAACAGAAGGGGGCAGACAACCAAACCCTACCAAGTAAGCTTCACATTATACAGGAGTCCCCGAACAGTCGCCGTGTCCTGAACTAGCTCCGGCAACTTCACATGAGGGTCACCTATTTATCAAATGCCAAAGTTCTGAGTTTGATATAGCAAGATTTTTCTGGAAATACAAGGTACTGTGCTTTTCATTTTGTTAGTAGATTATACTTTTGAAGGTTGGACAGTATCGACTTTTCAGTGCCCTTCCAGAACAGCGCAGGAATGAGCCTCCACGAGATCAATATGCTCCAGTTTTCCTATCCGAGGAGCTATTGAATCGGACCGATTTTACCATCAAGCTGCTAAAGAGGTTCACCGGCGGCTGGACGGTGGATGATCCTGCCCAAGCCGTGTTCTACATAGTTTCTTGTCGGTTCTTGGGGTAGCCTTTGTGGCTTCCTGACGGTTCGTGCTGTTGGTTGTTGTCTCAGTCAAAGCCTTTTGAAAGAGTTTAACCACGGTATCTGAAGCATGTATGCCAGTGATGCGATGAAGCTTGCTACCTGCCCTGTAACACTGGTTACCCCCCACGGACGTTGATCAAGAGTGACTCATTTCTTTGTGCATAGCGCGTGTATGCAGGTAATTCTCTAAATTGGGGTCCCTTTTTAGGTCCCAAATGTAGTACGGCACCCATATAGATAGGACCCCACACGGGACCCTAATTTAGAGAACTACCCATTGTTGGTTCCGTTTGTTTTTCTTGAGCGGAAACTTATCACCGAAGCCAGAGTCTACTTCGTAAAGTCTAAAATCCTATGCGAGGTTTTTCTAAGCCCTGTCTGTCTTTCTTTTCTCTCTCCATATCCAACTATCTATCTATCCATCTATCTATCGACCCATCATCAATCTGTCGATCGATGAATCTATCTATCTATCTGCCGATTTATCTATCTATCTATCTATCTATCTCTATCTATCTATCCGTCTATCTATCTATCTATCTATCTATCTACCTAACTACCGATCTATCTATCTATCTATCTATCTATCTATCTATCTATATATATATATATAGATAGAGAGAGAGAGAGAGAATATGTATGTAAATATGCATATCTTCATACACACATCCCATGCAAGGTTTGCTGTGGGCCGCTTGAGCGCTTCCTTCAGCTGCCTGCAAGGACGCCCGAGCGGCCGTGGCTCGTGTTGCATGGTAACATCTGAAGACGTTTAGGGTTTAGGGTGGCAGCAACCCGAGCATGTCCTCACAAACGATGATGGCTGGAAGGAGTATTATTAGACAAGTCTCACTATGAGTATATATCTGCTAGGCCGTCCATTTGCCCAAACCCTAGGGGGTGTTTAGTTTTTTCGGGGCCACCCGGGAATGGACTACAAGACTATACTGTAAAGATACCCACAGGGTAGTGTAAGGTTACTACTATACTATGAAGGCACTCTAAGAGCAAGCTAAAGTTGCCACATGTTGCCACTTTGCTATACCCTTAAACGCTGGCCCCACCTAGACCCCCCACTCCATTAAAGGGTAGGAGGGGAGGAGGGGGTCCCGGTATACTATAAGGGTACTAGCAATAATTCCTAAACCCTACAAGTTATAAACGATAAAGCCTACTATAATCTTGGGGAAGTCTGCCTCCTAGCAGCCTGAGGCTTCTAGCGCATCAGAAGGACTGGAGCCCAACACTACTTATTCGTTGCGCTGTAGTTAAGATTAGTGATTCCATTAAACTCTTCATCGTCTCCAGCCCGAGATCCTAAATCCGAAAACTCCTAACTCCTTAAGCCTCAAAGCCTAAACCCTAAACCCTAAACCCTAAAACTCCTAACTCCTTAAGCCTCAAAGCCCTAAAACTCCAACGCCTGAAACCTTGGCCCCCTTCGACCCTAGATCGCAAGACTCAGATACCTGTGCTACGACTGCGACGCCGTACTTCATCTGGAGAGGCGCTCTCCCGAAGTCGAACCCTTAAGGTTTAGGGTTTAGGGTTTAGGGCTGCGATTGCTTACTTAGTGGGGCTCCGTCAGAGATGTCTAAGGCGGCAGGCCTATGTAATGGTGCCCCTGGACACCCGAAAGCATTTCAAGAAGGAGAACCATCCGAAGTCCATGCAGTACTGCAATGGGTTTAGGGTGTTGCGAAGTTTCAGGCTTTGGGTTGCGGGACCTCCGCGCGTCCTACCTTTAGCAGTCCTGCCTCTGGTTTTAGGAGTGTTCCTGATCCCAGCGCTTATCTCAGTAGGCCTTTTTGAAGATATTTTTATTGTTCCCCTATTCGGCGTACGGGGATCCCATTTACGAATATGCTTCAACTGCTTTAAAGGGCCAACCAGCCTACTCATATCTGCCAAAGTATCCAACGTAAAATGATGAGCAGGGTGAGATCTAAACACGGGACAGCATAGAACCAACACGTGGTAAGTTGTGAGCTGGCGAAGGGTGATGATGAGAACCTGCCGAACGACAGCCCGAATCATTCCGAATCATTTCAGGTAGCCGCACCTTATCTGCTGCTTCACTGCAACATGTGATGTGTCAGAGCGCGAGGAATGCTGGCCGTAATTGGTGGATAATGTTCTCAGCTACCAATCTCATTAACTTTCAGTCGCCAAGAACTTTTTAAGGCTAACTAAGCATTTCTTTCCCAACGCTCATGTTAACTATCATAAGGAGGGTCACCGTAATTACGAACAGGGGCAGGCACAACAACCTCTATGAACTTTATACAGACGGTGCTAGCAATAGCAAAAGTGACTGCCTGTCCATGTTACGGAGAACGTAGCACGGTTCGGTAAAACAGCTCTCACATGAATTATCTGGCCAGTTCGCACGTGCGCAGCATCATTGCCCAGAAGTCTATTGCTGATGTAGCCCCGCAGAGATCTACATTGCTACAGTACCTAGACCGGGACTACTGTCAGTCCGAAGTATGAAAGTTAACTATGTTAGCACATGGACCTTTAAGGGCATGTGGCGCTTATGAGCCCGAAGAGAGTCGGTAGAGCGAAACTGCGAAACCCTAAATCCTAACCCCCTGCAATCCCTCAACTAGGGTTTCCGCTCTGTCCTAAAGACCAAGCTCCGAGCCCGAAATCCCTTTGACCATCCCCCTAAACCCCAATCCCGGCAGGCTGTCCATTATGAAGCCCGAGAGTCCGGCTCTTTCTGATACCTGGGCCCTGCTATCTCGACGCGATTTTATGTTTTCCTCCACGGATCTGCGGTGCCTCGGCAAGTGAAGGGGGAGCGAAGTTGCGCGGCGCAGTGCCCCGCCACAGAAGCTGCGTCTTAGCAAAGCCTCACAGATGATCTGGGCGCATCATAGCCGAATCATAGCTATAGGCTATATGCCGGTGCTGGATCTAGTACATGGCTCCCAGCACCATGTTCGATTCTTTAAGGCAGTACGAGGCACCGTTACAGAAATTCAGCAACAGTGCAGAACTCGAACCAAAACCTCTAACAACCCCAAGCCTCAAACCCCTAAGCCTTGAAGCCTGAGGCCCAGGCCTATTTTGGGGTTTAGGGTTTAGGGTTTAGGGCCAAATGACCCTAAACCCTAAACCAAAGCCTGCATGGCTTGGGAGGTATTGGAACATCATGAACGACTCCGCGCCGTTACTCCCTGGAGTCACTCACGCCCACCACATACCGAAGGTGGAAGAGCTGGATCAAAGGCGGATTAGGCCGCTTCCTTGTCGTTTAGGGCTTTGGGGCTTAGTTGTTGGGGTTGATAGGGTTAGGACTTAGAGTGTTTGGGTGAAGTTGGGTGTAGGTGTGTGTGTGTGTGCATTTGAGTGTGTGTGTGTGTGCATTTGAGTGTGTGTGTGTGTCTGTCTGTGTGTGTGTCTGTGTGTGTGTGTGTCTCTGTGTGTGTGTGTGTTTTTGTTTGATTGTTTGTTTGTTTGTGTCTGTGTGTGCGTGGGTTGTGTGGATGGGTGGGTGGGTGGGTGGGTGGGTGGGGGGGTGGGGGGGCGGGGGGCGTTATGATCGGCTGCTTGCATTTTTGGGTAGGGTTTCAGGTTTACATAGCCGGTTGCTATTGTTTGTGGGAGGGACCTCGGTCGTGCTAAAACGCAAGTCCATGAAGTGCGAACCCCTCAAAAAAACAGACAGCAACACAACAGACACGCGTCTATGCTGCTAGGGCATGCTCCCGCGTAAAAGGTATTCGGTACGAGCTTGTTTCAAGTTTTGGCCGGTAATGAGCGACCACGAGTGACGGGCGATTTGCGGGTTCTTGACGATTGCTGTTGCAATTGATGTTTCAATAGCTCTTGCACTTCTGTCTACTCAACATTCATCTTTTAGCACTAACCAGCAAGCCTGCGCGTCACGTTAAGTGCGGTACGAACACCAAAAAAACATGCACCTACTAACAATGACCAGAACCCTCAACCCCCCAACCCTCTGGATTAAAGCTTGAAGGCTCATGTAGCGTTTAGTGTCTTTGGTTTTGGGTTTTGGGTTTAGGGTTGTGGGTTTAGGGTTGTGGGTTTAGGGTTTGGGGAAACTTGAGCAGGCTAAAGCTGTAAACCTTGAAGCCTAAGGGCCTGAAAGCTCCAAAGCCCCAAACCCCAAAGACATCACCGACTGGTTTATGGACTTATTGAAAGACATGTTCAAGGCACCCAGAAATAAGGGCAGGTTTTTATAGGTTTCAGGCAGCGTTTCAGTTTCAACTATGACCTCTACACCCAAAGAGGCTGAAGTCTAATCCCTAAACCAAGGCGAACTTAATCTTATCTATCCCTATCAGTACCCTTATAAAGGCCTTTCATAAAGCACCTTCCTGAAACCATGGTCGAAACCTGAGCAACCTCTCTACAAGTCCTGCATGACTCCCACTACAGCCCCTGCTGAACGTTTAAAGCTTGCTAAGCGTTTTATTAAAGAGCCTCATAGCAGCTTTTGAAGTTCCTACTGAAAAACCCAGACATATGATTAGGACCTTAGTTCCTTAGCAGGTAGCTCTTAACTGCCTTGTGAGTTTCCTATGAAAAAGGTCACCCGAAGCCTCCCCTCCCCAAAGCCTAAACAGGACGGCAATGTTGCATAAGAACTATGGTTTGAGGATTCCGAGATTTGGAGCCCCTGCCTTTAAAAAAACCACCTGAACCTTGAAAGAAACTGATAGAACCCCACAAACGTCCTTTACAGAACCGTCTGCTTTAAAGCCCCCTCTCTCTGAGCCAGAAAACGTTCAGGGTTTAGGGTTTTGCAGCCACTAATAAACCCTAAACCCTAAACCCTAAACCCTAAGACTAAGGCCGCACGACCCTCCGAGCAACTTCTTGACCTTCCAGGGACTCTGGCTCCTGGGATCTGATCCAAAGGGGCTTAGGATGCTCCTTTAAGGGCTCCTGAAAGGGTTCTATAAGGGTTCCTTGAAGGACTTCTTTAAGGGTTCCTAAAAGGGCTTGCAATCTTCGAGTTTAGGGTTTAGGGTTTAGACTTACCCCTAAAAGGGCTTGCAATCTTCGAGTTTAGGGTTTAGGTTGGATTCAGGGTTTACCCACAGGCCCCGAAGTAGTTCCTTTTTGGGATATACCTTATAGGATTCTAAATATGAACCCGCAAAAAGGAACTGCTTAGGGGCCTATGGGCAATGTTGGGCCTGAAGAGTTACCACCACTATGTTTTGGGATGGTTTGGGGGTTTAGGGTTTAGGGTTTTAGGGTTTAGGGTTTAGGGTTTAGGAGCAGAATCTACCCCAAAAGCTTTATTCTGCCTGTTAAAGCCCCTATACTACCCAAGGGCTCCGGTGACTTAAATAGTAGCCATGTAATATGTACCCAAGCAACCCAAAATTTAGGTAGCTGGAGCCCTAAACCGTACACCCTAAACCCTAGCCCTTAGCATCAGAATAGCTCAAAAGCCTTATATAATACCAGTAGGGTCTTTGGGCCCAAAAAGCCTTGAGATATGAGTCCTTTGAGGGTAAGGGTAGGTAGGGCTTTTGGCAGACTTTGGCACCAGGGATCTTGAGGTTTGCAAGTCCAGGATCGAGGGTTTCGGGGCTTCGGCTTCAGGGTTAGACCCTAAACCCTAAAACATAAACCCTAAACCCGAAACCCTAAAACCTAAACCCTAAACCCCAAACCCTAAACCCTAAAACCTAAGCAAAGGGAGTGACTTGAGGTTTTCGGAATCTTACAGGGGCCCTAATGGCTTAGGATCTGGGTTCTATGGGTTCACGGGTTAGGGTTTAGGCGAAGGGGCTTAGGACCGAGGGCTTGGGATTCAGATTGGGATTCAGGGGTTCGTTTGAGCTGTAGGACTCATAGGGTTCATGGTTTAGCTTTCTTTTTTGCCCTTGGCACTTGGTGTATGTAGGCTTAATGGCCGGTTTGGGGGCTTAGGGTTTTGCGTTTTTGTTTCGAGTCTAGTTGTTGTTTAAGAGCATGTTTATTCGTATCGTTATGCGTAGTGCGTATATATGTATATGTACCGAGTATCCATGTCGCCTAATGGATATAGACGACATACATATGTATGTGCTGCATATCTAAACTTGTGTTGTCAACCGGTAGACTTGTCTTGTCCCCAAAGGGATTTCGACATTGGTTAGGGGGTGCTGTCATAGATCCATTTTTTGCGGATTGCTTTTTAAGTTTTGAAGGGGTTCAGGGCTGTGTACGCCAGTGTAGTTCATGTTTTGGGCTTGGTGGACTTTCAAAAGAGCTGGATGGATTTTAGGGCTGTGAAATGCCATGGATGCCTTTCTGCTTGTCTGCCTGATGAGCTCTGGAGTACTGATTCTGTGATTCGGGGAGATTTGGTTTGGTGATACGAATCCTGCATTTCCCATAATATGGAATATACATAATTCCTATAGTTAAGGGCCTTCAAGCTAATGCAGGATTTACATCACCAACAGCAGGTTTGCTGGCGCGCCATGTTTATGCTGCAGCGGTTGTTCGGTTTGGTGTCTCTGGAAGCATTTCTTCATCTGGTTTCTCGATAGGCGAGATTGTACCATAAGAGATTGGCTTTGTTCCTCCTTGGCTAGCTCGAAACACTAAACCCTAACACCTAAACTATAAAGCAGCTCCAAATTCTAAAGCAAAAAATGCCTATAAGAAACCTAAAGACCTGAGACGTACCATTCCCAAGCCCCAGATTCAAGAACCTCAACCACGAACCCTATAGGAACTGCGGACAACTTGGCAGCTCCTTTGTCCGCTTGAACATGGCCGTCATGTTGAACAGCACGAGGAGGCTCTGTACCCTCACTGTAGGGGTTCCCTAAGCCCTAAACCCTTGAGGGTTTAGGCACTGTAGGGTTTCCCTAAACCCTAAACCCTAAACCCCTTTAGGGTTTAGGGTTAAGGGTGTAGGGTTTACTTGAACTCCAACGCCCCAAAGCACAAAAGCCTTTCCTTTGCAATCTGAGGGGGTTCACGGAAAGAGCTCTCAACAGAAAGCCCTAAACCCTAAACCCTATTTTCGTATTCTGGGGTTTGGGGCCGAGAGATTTGGGCTGAAGAGTCATCTTCCTGAAGAGAAGAAAGACACTCAGAGCCTCATGGCTTTCAGCTTGGCGAGTCTTAGTCGTAGGGGTTAAGGGCTTAGGGTCTACCCATAGGCCCCTAGTAGTTCCCTTTTTGAGATTCCCTTATAGGATTCTAAATATAAACCATAAAAAGGAACTACTTAGGGGGTCTAGGGCTTAGTGCCCCAAGTTCGAGAAAAGCGGCATTAGGATGTCGCGGCGGTTGAAGCGCAACCATCACCAGAAACGGCGGTGCATCGGTCGGAAGTGTCTGGCCTCTGCACGGCACGGCCGCGGACAGCCACAGAAGCATTTTAACCTAAGGCTCCATGTACCCATATAGTAGATACTTAGGCCTTAAAGTACCAATGTAGGGACCCCTTTAAGGCCTGAGTATCTACTGTATGGGTACATGGAGCCTTAGGGTTAAGTGGCAGGAATGATCACCATCGTCATAGTAAAGGCCGCAACGATTACCAGCATCATCTGCATCATCAGAAGCAAGGGCCATCGTCATTGCCATCATCACGACCTCCCCTCTCCTCCCGCCATCATCAGTTTTCCTCTGCAATCGACAAACGGTGGTGCAGAGTGCGTGCGTGTGTGTGTGTGTGTCTGTGTGTGTGTGTGTGCGTGTGTGTGGGTGTGTGTGTGTGTGTCTGTCTGTGTGTCTGTGTGTCTGTGTGTCTGTGTGTCTGTGTGTCTGTGTCTGCGTAGTGGCAGATGCCGCTCGAACACCGCCCAGAATCCAACAAAGCGTGCCTCACTGGATGAGACGTTGCTCGTTGCTTAATGTAGAAAAGGTTTTGGTCATTGACACCCGTGTCACGGGAGCACATCTAGACCTAGACTTAAGCCCTAGGCCCTAAAGCCTTACAAGCCTGAAACCTGAACCCTAACAGCCGGCACCAGGAAGCCTAAATCACCGGGCGGGCCAAGCAAGCATTTTGAACGTATCCTGCAGCAATGCTCATGCAGTAGATATGTGCAGCATAATGCAGTTCACAGTTTCAGAATGTACAGTTTGGGGGTTCGGCAACTGTAAACCCAGAACCCCAAACCCACAAATGTGGGTTCAGGATTTTGAATCTAGGGGTTTCAGGGCCTGGAAAGTCATGAAGTCTGGAGTCTTGGCAGGCTGCCCAAGGCTATGAAGACGGCTTCGGGGGAGCCACTGCCGCTGCCACAAAAGAACTACACGCCCCCACGGGATGTGTTCATCTCCATTGCCGGCGAGCAGCACAACTACAAGGCGCGGAGAGTAGTGGCTATTTTGCTAAGCCCCGCACCCTATTCGTGATTCGGGCTCGGAGCGGCAAGGAGTTGGTGCGAGTCGCAGCCGCTGCAGGGCAATGTTTGAGTCTGGGTCTAATGTGAGGCGATAATTACCCACAGGCTCCGTAGTAGTTCCTTTTTGTGGTTTATATTTAGGATCCTATAAGGTAATCCCAAAAAGGATCTACTAAGGAACCTCTGGGTAAGGCACTGCGATGGCCTCTGCGACCCCTGGAATCCTGAACCCAAACAAATCCTACAAGTGAGGCCAGGAGGCATTACTATGCTCTCTTCGACAGCGCATACAGCCTTGTGACCGGGTTGCCAATGCTTTGTGTGCGTTTTTGTTGCTTTTGGCGAACTTAAAGCGAACCTACACCAAACCCTACACACCAAAGTTAAAGCGAAACTACACCAAACCCTAAACACCAAGCCGTCATAAAGCCTGGCAAAAGTGCCCATTGTGCAGCGGCCACTGGCGAACGTAGATGATGATGGTAGTGCGTGACGTGACCATGCTACCGGTACTTGCCAAGGCTCCGCCCTTGAGGGGGGCCTATATAGAGACCCGAAAAAAGTGGTAGGGTATGAGCAAGTAGGCACGTTTCAAAGGAACAGGTCAGGAAATCATTTGACAGCATGGAGCCCTACATAGGTATGCTTTATTCGGGCTACATGTGCACTGCAAACTCAAATCCCGAACCCTCCAAGATTTTGGGATCCTAGGTGATGCATGGTCATGGCCGGTGGAGCTATCGGCTGATGGAGGTTCTAAGTGGAGGACCTTCAGAAATCTAGACCCCTGTTGAGGGGTCTTTTCAAATCACCATCACGCTAAACTCCTGAACACCAAACCATTTCAAGGAGGATCCTTGTTTCTTGGGGGTCTCTAAATTCGGGCCTGCTGAAACTCTGTGGTTTGTTCGAGCTTACAGTCCTTTGGTTTTGTCCGCTTTTGAGACCCTCATCGTTACTTTAAATTGGACCCGTAGCGTAGTAATGTTTAGAGGGCAAGTGGGCCGCCGCTATGCTGTTTTCATGTGAAGCCTTGGGCGTAGGTACCCTCTACCATGATGTTAACTCCTGAAGCCGGAAGCATGTAAGCATGCATCGATAAGAGCCGAGGAGCCGTAGAGGGTTTGCAGTGACGTGATGTGGATATCATCAATCCCAAAGGGTCCAAGTACTAGTATAGTATGTACTTTGGGGGCACCAATGGCTACTAAGTAGCTACCATAAAGGTACTTGGACCCTTTGGGAATACCCACGAACCCTTGAAAAAGTGCACAGTCCCTCAAACGCCCCCCTGCCCGGCGTCCCAGACAGCAGGCAATGGACTCCCATTATGTAGACCTTATTCGAGTACCGATAGGCTCCAAAGTAGTCCCTTTTGGGGATTACCTTATAGGATCCTAAATATGAACCACAAAACGGAACTACCATGGAGCCTATGGGTATGCTGTAGTATAGAACATATACGACCCGGGAAACGAAGTAAGGTTGTACTGTAGTTCAGGGTAGGTTGTTCGATCTTGAACGCAACCAACTTTCACATTAATCGACAGCGTATCCTGTCCTTGCCTTAGTGTAGACCCACACACTGCCCGTACAATAATCCTAAGGCCGGGCGGCCCAACCCTTAGAGTAAAGCTTATGCACTTTAATTCGTCAGTAAGCCTTACAACAGCCCTGGTAACCCTAAGCCCCAACCCTTCGCCTGAAATCCTAAACCCTAAACCCGCGGCCCCAAACCCCAGGCCCAAGACTCCAAGCTCTAAACCCAAAGCTCTGAGGCCCAAGTCCGAAGCTCGGCACCCCAAGCCCTGAATAGAGGATCGATCCCCGTCATCATGGCGGAAGGATGGAAGCTTCCATATGCGGAGGCTAGCTTCAGCAGTTTAGGGTTTCGGGATGGCACAATGTGACAGGGGATTAGGGGTTGGGGTTTATGGTTTAGTTACAGGGGTTTAGGATTTCAAGTTGGCGGTCTGAGCTTTTGGGACCAGTGAGTAGGAGTAGGAGGGTTTAAAGTAACGCAGCCGTTTCGAAAAGCATGCTCCGGACTTGAAATGAAAATCTTTGAGCTAACAGCCTGCGGGGTATGGGGCTTGGGGTCCGAACTAGCTGCATGGTGCCAGTTAGGGTTTAGGGTTTAGGGAGGTAGGATTTCGACATTTGGAACTCCCCGCATGCTTCGCGTCCCCCTCCTCCCCTGCTGTTCTCGAGTTTCCTCATGGTTTAGAAGTCACCGGAATAAACCCTAACCCCAAGCCTCCAAACCCCTAAACCCCTAAACCCTAAACTCCAAACCCCTTGAGAGAAGGCAGGAGGCGGTCAGTGTTCATAGGGTGGGATTCCTGAAGCAACAGTTCTCGCTGGGGCTAAACAGTGCTTAGGGCATACAGACACACATCCTTATAATAAGGATCCTACTATTATGTATTAAGGTACTATGATAGGGTCCCCTATTTTGGGAACCCCCCCCCCATATGTACATCTGAACAATTGATCAGGGTCTTTTTGTTGCGAGGCCTCAGCAGTTGTAAGTGGGTTCGGTCCCCAAACAAGAGTTCATGCTGGTCCACTGGTATTCGGTCTCTGCATAGCCTAGGTACCTCATCTTGTACTCTAGCTACGTATCTACCTGCTTATCGCGAAGAGCGCAAAGATAGATGGCAGCTTGACACGTGCAGCACTTCAGCAATCACTTTGAGCACTATGGCCGTAAGTATAGCTGACAGGCGCCATTCGGTTTTGCTGTCACCCTAAGCCCGAAACCCTAAACCCCCTAACCCCCCTAACCCCCCAAACCCAAAACCCTAACTCTAAGCCTTAAAACCCCTAAACCCTAAACTCCTTAACCCTAAGCCTTAAAACCCCTAAACCCTAAACTCCTTAACCCTAAACCCTAAACCCCTAAACCCTAAACCCCTAAACCCTAAGCCCTAAACCGTTTCTCTGGGTGAAGCTTCGTAACCCCTGAGGTGATCGACTGGGCACCTTGACATGCAGCTATTGGAGCATCCAGTCCAAGCGTTTTTGTTTGTCTGTTGAGGGCTTTTAGGGTGAAGGGCTTAGGGTTTAGGGCTTGGGGTGTGGGGCCTTTAGGGTTTAAGGCTTAAGGTTTAGGGCTTAGGGTTTGGGTTTAGGGTAAAAGGAAGCCGTCAAGGAACCCCCCCTAAACCCTAAACCCTAAACCCTAAGCCGTAACCTTAAACCCTAAACCCCAAACCCTAAGCCCTAAACCCTAAGCCCTAAACCCGAAACCCTGAGCCCTAAACACTCTAAGCCCTAAACCCTAAGCCCTAAACCCTAAGCCCTAAACCCTAAAGCCTTAAACCCTGAGCCGTAAACCCCAAACCCT